ATAATAAATTAAATATATTTTTTTCTTTTTTCGTGATTTCCTGCGAAACAAAGCAAAAAGGAGCATATGTCTATAGGACTTTTTTTCTTAGTTTTTTACTCCTCTACACGCTCCCGAAGTTTTGCCATTTAATTTGGAAACACCCTGTATTTTTAGATCTAGGAAATAGTCTTATCTCAGCGAAGGATATTTCTAACAGTTGTAAAATAAACATTCTTCTGAATAGGAGCGTTACCGCGTCCTGTCTGCGGAAGCCATACGTTTGCCGCGCCGCGCAAATTAACGCAGTAGCCAATCATTCTTTTGCTTTTATGGAAAAGCGATAAATTGATTGGCTCTCGCGTCAATTTCCGCCGCGCGGCAAACGTTACCGCGTTCTGTGTGCATCATAACAATAAGGGCCGATTTCACCAACGCCAATTATTTAATCGGCGTTTAACTGACCAATTGCATTTGCTGTTTAGTAGAATTGACTGTCTGTACTTTCGTTCCTTATCTTGTTCTGTCGCTAGTAAATAAATAAGTTACGCGGTGAAGATCGAGCGATTATCGAAATTCGAACTTATTGTTGTGCTTGCAGATCAAGATCTGGTTTCAAAATCGTCGAGCAAGACAGAAACGGGAGTCGCTAAATTCCACGATAACAGCGCGATGATTCGACAACAATGGAAACCAATAAGGTTCTTCTGGAATCCTACATCTGAATCGAGGAAGATTCGACAATGCACCGAATTTAAATCGAAATTATTTCGGGCAACTCGACTTTCGGCTATTTATTTCGGCCACTGTACTGTAAATAAACTTATTTATATATAACTTTAGCGCAAAATTATTACGATTATTTCCAATCACGTGAGAAATTAAGCCCACGTAACGATATCTAAATGTGCGATCATTGAAAATCATGCTAGCGTCTAACAGAAAAAGTTCTTACAACGTTCGATAGAGGAAGTCTTCAGCCGTTATAAATCATTGAAACATCAGTAAATAACTTCGTGATTAATCTCGCGATGATAAGAAAATTCTAAAGAGAAAACATTATGAAGGAATTTTTTCAGAATAAATGTATGAGATATGAAGAATACGAGTAAACAGTGATGCTCATATAGTATTTTTCCGTTTCGTGAAGTACACTAAAAAAAAAGATTGGCTGCTGCAATAAATTAGATGGTAAATATGGCATAGCATTTTTAATTGGTTGCAGCAGCCAATTTTTGGTTACGTTAGCCTATCCACAATGTCAGTATAGGATTTCGATAGGCTAACACAACCAAAAATTGGATGCTGCAACCATCTTATAAGCGCATAATATTATTTAATATTAAATAATATTTTAGGCATATTCTCAGAATATTAAATATAACATTTTAATAATATTTTACTAAAATTATATAATATTAAATAATATTCCTGAAATATTAATGGATGGTTATATGTCCACTCCTAATAATATTATATGATTATTAAAAGTAACATTT